GCAGTGTGAGGGTCGTTCACTTTGGGGGAGGATGGTACGGTTCTGTCTTAGTAGGTCTTATGATACAAGATCAGGTCCACTGTGTGGCTAAGGACTTTTATGGAGGTTTTAAAATTGAGCCCCTTTCCTTCTCCCTAATTTGCTGTGATTTGAGACTCAAATCAAATTCTTGCTTCAAAAATATTAGCATGGCTGGGTGCAGTGACGCATGCCTGCAATTTTTCCGTCCCCAGCCACATGGGAGGCTGAGGCAGGAGGATCCCAGATTTGAGGCCAGCCTCAGCAACTTAGCAAGACCCTCAAAAGGGCTGAGGATGTAGCTCAGTGGTCAAGCATCCCTGGGTTCAATCCCCATAACAACAACAAAAAAAATAGTGGCAGTACTTGGTATTGCTGTCTCTCAAATTCCAAGCATTTGCTGAAGCTGGAGACGTGGAGGGCAGGAACTCTGTTTGTAATACACCCCCTTCTTCTGTCCCCCAGGGGACTGCAGGGACAGCCTCCTCATTGGCCTGCCTGTTCCACTGCTTTCCCAGGTCAGCTCCCTGCCCAGGAGCCGGACCAACATTGTGGAAGTATGTTGGCCACTTTAGATCATGAGTGGGTCCCCATCTTCCAAGCCAAAAGCCAAGGGCAGACTCCCCGCCATTGTCTGGAGGCACCTGCATTAGTTGGCCTCCGAGTTCATCTTAGACCACCCCATTCCCCTGCCGGGCAGGGCCGGCCTTTCTACCCTGGGGACTTAGAAGCTGCTGTGTCTGTTAGTTGAACATTCCTCCACAGGTTCCTGGTACCTTGTATCTGAAGGACATTGCAGTGTGCAGTTTTCAATACAGGAGGGCCATTCGGCTAATGTCCACCAGTACACATACAGTCACGGGCATCAGCTACATGTTCAGGTATACATTCCAGGAGGAATGTATATTATTTACCCACTGTGCCCCCCGGGCTCCAACACAGGCACAATCATCAACACATACTTGTTGGTACAGTGAGTTTGTTGCAGGTTAGTCAGAGGAGGGCCTCGGATAATATTCTGCCATCGGTGTACCAGATGCTTCTGTCCAGCATGTTTTTAATATACACAGGGTCCCTTTAAGAAGCTTGAAAGGAATTGGGGTGGGGTGCGAGCCTGTGATCCAAGTGGCTCGGAAGGCTGAGGCAGGAGGATCATGAGTTCAAAGCCAGCCTCAGCAAAAGTGATGCCGTAAGCAACTCAGGGAGATCCTGTCTCTAAATAAAATATTAAAAAGGGCTGGGGATGGGGCTCAGGGGTTGAGCACTCCTTGGTTCAATCCCCTGTACCAAAAATAAAATAAAAGTTGGTGTCTCACCTAAGAGAATGAGGCAAATGACAATCACAGTAATGCAAACCTGATCCCAGGCTGTCACTAGTTCAAAACTGAATTTACTTTCAAGTCCCAAGTCCTTAGGGAGGTAATCTAGAAAAGACATACAAGTTAACTTTAATTTTGGGATATATATATATATATATATATATATATATATATATATATATATATATAAATGTAGCTTTTCTTTTGAACAATCCAGGGCGTAACCAGATAAAAGACAGCATCATAAATAATTAGCATGCTTGCAGAAAATAAAAATCATATTTGAAAATTTTACAAACACACAGAATAGTTAAGTATATATATATATATATCCCAGAGTGCCAACAAGAGTTTCGATACTGAATGCATTTTCAAATCTATTTTCAAATGCATTTTCAAATCATTTAAATGATTTTGAGATGGATCATAAAGTTAAGTCTTACCAAAGAAGAAATGTAAAACTCTTCCAGAATACTCTGTACTTAGCCCACTAATATGCCATTTGTATATGCCAGTCAATGGCAGTTTAGTGGTGGCACAGTTTGGAGAGCACATTCTCACGATGCACCTGTACTTCTCTGCCAAATAGAGGGACAAGATTTAGATGGCATTTAAAAGGGATTCCAAAGTATAATTCAACTGAGAAGCAGTTTTGCAACCTTATTCCAAATTGTATCTGTCATTGTGTATTAAATTGAAGCTAAATGAGTCACTTATTTTGGAGGTGAGAAAGGCTATTATAATTTGAAAAATGATCCAGGCCTTGCCAGTGGATTCCAAATGTACATTCTCTTTATGGTGAAGTCACCTCTCTAGTTAAAGAGATTCAAATCTTCCAGGTCATCTAGGCATAGTGGCACATATCTGTCATCCCAGTAGCTTGGGAGGCTGAGGCAGGAGGCTTGGCGAGTTCAAAGCCAGCCTCAGCAAGGCCCTGAGCAACTTAGCAAGTCCCTGTCTCTAAATAAAATATAAAAAGGGGCTGAGAATGTCATTAGTTGGTTAAGCACCCCGGGTTCAATCCCCAGTCCTTAAATCAATCAATCAATCAATCTTCCAGGCTAGAGATTTATTGTATGGACATTTTAGGGTCCTGGAAGCCCTCGTGTGGCATGCTGGTGTATAAGCACATGTGTGTGGTAAGCGGGTAAAAGCACAGGGGCATTCTCTGCAGCAGGAAGTTCCAGCACTTTCCTCACACTCTCTCAGTGGGGTAGGGTTGCCAGAAAGGTCTTTTTCTCCAGTTCAGGGAAAAGATATGGTGGAAGAGGTTAAAGTTAGGTTTCAAGAGGCCAATGGTCCAAGAAGGCTGTAGTGCAGGGACCCAGAGTAACCTTACAAAAGAGATAGCAGGCTGGGCACAATGGCACACCTGTAATCTAATCAGCTCTGGAGGCTGGGGCAGGAGGATCTCAAGTTCAAAGCCAGCCTCAGCAAACATAAGGCACTAAACAACTCAATGAGATCCTGTCTCTAAATAAAATATAAAAAAGGGCTGAGGATGTGGCTTAGTGATTGAGTGCCCCTGAGTTCAATTCCCAGTACCCACCCAAAAAGGAAATGATGGTTGGTGGACGTTGCCTTGAGATCCTCCCACCTCAGCCTCCCAAGCTACTAGGATTACAGGCATGCGCCACCGCACCCAGCCATAATTCCACGTTTTTTCTACATATTGTGGTGTGTGGGTGCACACCAACAGTGTGCTGATCTTGTGCATGGTTGTTTATAATATTGATACCTTTCTAGGGGACACATGAAAAGAAAAACATATCCCCACTGGCATGCAAAAGAGAAGGGGTGTCTTATCTGTCTTGGTCATTTTCTCATCCTGATATCTTCACTGTTGCTCTGGGGAGCTAGAGGACAGGGGTCACCTCTTGGGACAGAGATCCGACACCTGGCCTGATAGTCAATGCACAGTGGTTGAGGTGGACGGGGTCCAAGTTCTGTTCCAGGGCTTGGAGTGCTAATATATCCACCTCTGGGCTGAGCTCTTCACCATCAGTGAGAACAGGGTGTTGTGGTGTTGGCGGTGATGTTTGTCGCCACCCAAAGGCCAATGCATTTTCCTGGTGTCTTCGCCAGTTTCTCATCCCCTTGGATCGGATGGAATTAAGCCTCACTTACAGTTTCCCCAAGTGTAGGATACGGTCCTCAGATGTCTCTGATGATAACACCTGATGGAAGAGTTGAGGGAACTGAGATGCTTGAGGTTGAAGATCTTATAAACTACTTTAAAAAACACAAGCTGCCCAGGATCCGTTGGAGAGGATGGAGATGCCCTTCCTCTCCCCCTTTACCATGACGCTCAAGCACGTAACTATGGTGATGTGACATCTCTTACACAGGAGGCAGGATTCTATGAGTTTTATTTTGAATAGAGGAAACGAAATACCTGGAATCACCACAATCTTTTATTAAAGAAAATAGGAGCTAAATTATTTTATTTTCCACCCATCATTTTTCTTCTCGGTAGGTTTTGTTCTCTGTTCCCTTGCCATTCAAAGAGCGTTTCATGAAATGGGAAGGGCCTCTGCTTAGCTGGTTTTAATGAACAGGAACTTGCTTGTTCTCTTAAAATTTAATTGGAACTCCCCTGCGAATGCTACTTAGACTGTGGATAAGTTGCAAGTTTAAGGAGGCTGACCCCCCAGGAATCAACCATATATAAAGTTCAGTCTTGACTTTTTTTTTTTTTTTTTTTGGTACCAGAGATTGAACCCAGGGGCTCTTACCCACTGAGCCACATCCCCAGCCCTTTTTTTGTATTTTATTTAGAGACAGGGTCTCACTGAATTGCTTAGGGCCTCACTAAGTAGCTGAGGCTGGCTTTGAACTCTCGATCCTCCTGTCTCAGCCTCTCGAGCAGCTGGGATTATAGGTGTGCACCACTGGTCTTGACTTTTAAACCATATCTGAAAAATTGATTAGCTAAGAATTATGAAAGCTTTTCACATGATAGCATTTCTTTAACCTTTAACTATCAGTCTTCATATAACTAAGCATGTTTTTTCTGTTTCTCCTAGTCTGTTTGTTGGTTGGTTTTTCTTTCCACTTTTTTTTTTTAATTGGTGCATTATCATCATGTTTGCTTCTGCAGTATTGGGCATTGAAGTCCAGGCCTCACCCATGCTGGACAACTGAGCTACCTCCCTCATCTTCTCCCTGTTCTAGAAGAACTGATGGCAAACCTTTAGAGAGGACTTGTGTGTTTTATTATCAAAAGATGCAACATATGGTACCCCAAGGGGCCTTTTAGCCCTGATTGTATTTCTTCTAGATGTTATACCCTATGGCGAAACCACTCCTGGTATTTTGTGTCACATGTTTTTGTCGAGAAATGAGGAGGTTAAAGCCGATCCATCATGCAGTAAACCAACCCAGTGTCTCAGCTCAGAACCTATGATGAGAATTAGATTTGTTTTCCGCTACAGCCCAGAGAACAGTGTGCTTTGTGATTATGTCTTTCTGTCTGGCCTGCCCCTCTATCTGTCTGCCAATCACTTGGGGATTTATCTGCATTGTGCATTCACTGGAGAAGGAGGACGCCCAAAGGTTGTTGATGTATTTATGCACGGTGTTTGCAAAAGTGCCCCACCAGAGCCGAGCTGGTGGGAAAACGCCCACTGGGAGAACCGGCAATGATCTCTTGCTTACTTTCAGCAACCACTGGAAAGGAAAGACAGCCAGAGTAGTTCTCAACACAGCGCTTCCAGCCACCGGAGCCTGCACACGGCGTCCCCGAGTCACAACACGCAGGTGCTCCCCGAGTACCCACCCACCGAGGCTCCCGCTCCAGATCAGACCGACAGCTCTGGGCAGAAGAAACCAGATCCTTTTAAAATCTGGGCCCAGTCCAGGAGCATGTATGAAAACCGACGTGAGTAGTGCCCCCGGGCTGCCTGCCCCACTCCCCTCCCCTGGGCCGGGCTCCTCCAACACAGCAAGGCTCCGAGTGTAAACTGGACCAGGGTATATCAGGATGAGGACCAGGCTCCTCAGAAAGCACCATCTGCTGGATCTCCATTTGGAGGCTCCGTTATGTCTCCAGGTTGGGAAACAGGGTAGAAAGGGATGCTCATCTAATCCCCAGCCTGGAGAAAAACCCACTTATTTTTCTCTGTAGTTGAAAGAAGGGGCAGATAAGAATGGCTGTCTCCTACATTATTACCTGAGCTGGAGTCTTGCAAGACAGTCTGATAGATAATAGAACCTAAATATGTGTGGGTGGTAAGAGGAAAATATGAGGTAACGAGGTAACGAGGAGAAATTAAATGCTTACTTTGTGGTTGCTTGGTTTTGAAAAATACTGGTAATTTTTTTTTTAATGATTCTCAATTTTTCTAAACATGCTCTCCAAAAAAAAAGGGGGGGGTGAATTAGGCTTTAATTATTTATATAGTGAGTAAGTGTTTTCTTTGGTTTTACTTTTCCTATAAGAATAGGTTAGTGACGGCGTACTCTGTAACTTCTTGGCTTTGATAAGCCTGTTAAATCCTTTCTGTTTAACTTTTTCCTCTTTATTATGAAATGATTTCCAAAAAGAATTCACCATGAATGATACGCATTTATCTCAACAGTGAAAGTTCTTACAAAGTTTGAATTTTAGATGGTGCTCGTTGAGCCTTTTTGGGGGGTGTGGCAACTTCTGACATTCTCTCCTGATCAGGGGCGGCCCACCCGTGACCTCTCTGCCTCTCCTTTTCCCTCTTTCGCATGGAGTGGAAAAGACTGTCAGGAGAGGGAACGTAGGGTGGAAGGGCATGAGAGACTGGAAGAGAGAAGAGCATCACTTAGCTGTTCCCTTTGTCCCTGTCACCCCTACCATGGCTATAGTTCCAGCCATAGCTATGGTCACCTCTCAGCCAGGGCCCCCATGGAGGTCATGGTGCAGAGGTTGGTGAGGGGTCGGCCCTGGCTCCTTTGCTTGTGGGAGGGCATCAGCTGGGAGACCACAGCTGCTCTGTGGCCCCAACAGGAGGAAGGCCAGCAGCCCTGCCCAGGAAGGAAAGTTGGTGACAGCCCTGGGTGGAACGCAGCAGTAGGGGGCCTAGGAGAGGCTGGAGACTTGCTCTTCCTCCTTTTCCTCCTCAAGGGAGGGATGCCCTAGCCATTGAGCACAACAGTGCCTGCCATTACGTAGGCTGCTTTGGCTGGTGGCTCCCTATACCGGGAGAAGCCAGCTAATTTGCAAAGGCATTTATTTAGTCCACGGACCAGAAAGACACCACTGAGGTCCCCCAGAGACCAGGCTGAGGGAATGAGGTTCCATTTGGAATATCCCTCCCTCACACACTGGAGGTGCAAGCACAGGCTGAGCATCCCTGGTTGTCTTAGTTTTTCACTTCTGGGACTAAAGGAACCGACTAGCACAATTATAGAGAAGGAAGCGTTTATTTGGGGGCTCACGGTGTCAGAGGTCAGAGGTCCCAGTCCACAGACAGCAGGCTCCATTCCTCGGGGCTCCAGGGGAGGCAGGACGTCATGGAGGAAGAATGTGGTGGAGGGAAGCAGCTCACATGGTGACCAGGAAGCAGAGAGAGACTCCACTCTCCAGAGACAAATAGAGACCCCAAAGCCACGCCCCCAATGCCCCCTCCTCCAGCCACACCCACCTGCCTCCAGCCACCACCCAGTTAATCCCATCAGGGGTCCATTCACTGGTTGGGTTAAGGCTCTCACAACCCAGTCCTGTCTCCTCTGAACCTTCTTGCACTGTCTCACATGTGAGCTTTGGGGGACACCTCACACCCAAACCATAACACTGACACAAAACTGGCAACCAGAAGTATTTCAGATTTTGGAATTTTTCACCTTTTGCAATATTTGCATTTCCATAATGAGATATCCTGGTGCTAGAATCCCAGTCTAAACATAAAATTCATTTGCATTCCATATGGACCTTATACACATACCCTGAAAGTAATATTACACATTTTTAATAATTTTGTACATGAAACTAAGTTTGGTGGTGTCGGACTTCCTACTTGTGGTGCTGTGTCAGCATTTAAAAAGTTTCCAATTCTGGAGCATGTTAGATTTTTAGATTAGGGATGCTCAACTAGTAAGAGCCTGGGGTCCATCCTCACAACGTCTCCTCCCTCATTATAATGATTTCACTTAAATAAGAAAAAAAAAAAACTACTGAAGAATGTTTTCCAAAGGGGTCGTATTTTCATATTCCCTACACATTCCTCTCTAACCATGAGACTCCTCCAATCAATGCCCAGCTTCAGGGGATGTTGGTATATTATTGCTTTATTGACCACACTCCTGCTTTTCTCAGTACAGTACACATTTATGATTGAGTTTTCCATGTATGAATCTCACTGTGATAAAATAGATCACGCTTTGAAGGGCTGGCAGCGCCCTCCTGGATTGGCAAGACCATTCTCCTGCACCTGTTCGATAGGAGGCTCCAACTCATTTTCACCCAGATGGGAACAGCATTTCTTAGGATTTGGGTCTTTCATCCAATTTTTATGAAAGTTTCCACCAGAATAAAATAATATCTAATGTGACCATAACCAGCTGCTGTCAGCATTGAAATGGCCCAAATGGCAGCTGGAATGAAATATTTGGGATGGTTTCATTTCTGCGCCTTCACTTTCTTTAACATCGAAGGAATCAGATAGAACAGCCCAAATGAGAATCCATTTCGTTGTGGTGATTGCAGGCTCCCTAATGGAGTGATAGCAGCAGCCTAATTGATGTGAAGATTCCCATGGATTTTCTCCTCCTTGCTAAGTGAGAAAAATGATGACACTTCCCCCACCCGTGGTAATTGTTCTGTAGCTGTCACAGTTTCTTTTTTTTTCCCTTTCACAGTGTGAATGAATGAACTTGAGTCAGTCTTGTCTTGGAATCAGGACTTTTTTTTTTTTTAATCCCAGATCAGTTTCTGCCATTGCCCTAGGTTATTTTGTATCTTGTCTTTTAAGAACCATAACAAAAATCTGGGGCATGCCCTGGGTAGCTTGATTCCCCGCCCCTCCCTGCACAGTGAAATGAGCAGAGTACTCCAGGAAAAAACATCAGAAGTCTACAGCAGTTCCTTAATTGTACCAGATGATCCCCTTTTGGTCGAGAATATCTTCCCCTTATATCTAATTTTATTAAGGGCAATGTGAAGATGAACAGATGAACACATTTTGCTTTTATTTTTTTTAAATTTTTTTGACACTGGGGATGGAACCCAGGGGTTCTTAATCACTGAACCACATCCCCAGCCCTTTTTAATATTTTATTTAGAGACAGGGTCTCATTGAGTTGCTTGGGGCCTCACTAAGTTTCTGAGGTTGACTTGATCCTCCTGCCTCAGCCTCCCGAGCTGTGGATGGCACCACTGCGCCCGGCTGAACACATTTTGATCACCTTCCTTCATAGGTCTAACTGTTTTATAAAATACCATATTCTTCAATGCCAAAACAGCATTGTCAAAATGAATCCGTCTGAATTACAGATGTTAATGAATCCTTTTGAAGGGTTTCAATGTTTGATTAAAAACAAAGACAAGCATTAAAGCCCTTTAAAAGCCCTGTTGTATTTTCTCCGGATAACATACCAATTGTGCACATGTCTTTAAAAACGACATTGACACAATCTTATTAGTAAATGTTCGGGAAAATTGGCTAGCATCCAGTAGCATTTATTTCCAAAGAATTTTTAAAGCTTGCCATTGCAATTTTGTCTAATTGCAGTATAGTTTGGAAAGAAAGAAAGAAAGAAAGAAAAAAAAAGCTGAAAGTGCTCCTATCAACCAACATTGTCAACCTGTCCTGCTTTGGAGTGACTTGCTTAGAAGTTTGGAATTGGTGACTGAGCTCCTTCATCATGGAGCTAAGTCTAAGTCTAAGGAGCTCATGAGTACTTCTAGATTTTAAGCACTGTCATAATGATTCCTATTTTATGTGTTTGTTCAGAGCTTGGGGCAGATTTGACAATTGTGTGTCTGTGAGCATGAGACTATTCTGGTTTGAATTGCCTAAAATTGACCTGGACTGGCCTTAGTACAGGGAGGAGTTCCATCAGGAACTTCATACACTCCTAAATAAATATGAGTGTCGCAGTGTCACAGATACACCGATTTTTTTTTTCTCAAAAGGCAATGAGGGTTTAGATGAACCTTCTGTAGATTGAGACATGATTGAAACAAGTTCATCGGAGAATGTATTTTAGAGTCTAATTAAATGTGAAGAGCCTAAGATGGTAAAGGGAGTCATAGGAACTCTCCGTGGTATAATTAGAAATTCTAGCTCTTTGACAAGTAAAGCATCATGAAAAAAAGAAGCCAAAATATGAAAAAGAAAAACCATCAAATCATAGTCCTTAAAATCCATAGCAGCCATGACCCACTGTACCGAGGGGCACTATCCCTCACAAATCACAACTGAGCTGAAATGAACTAACAGAGAATGTACATGAAGCTTTGCAAAACTGTGAAATTAATATTCCAGCTATGTCACCTTCGCCTGCATCGGGATTGAGCAAGGGGGAAAGAGAGAGAGAAATCAGTTCCACGAATTTTGGAGAATGTCAGAGTAAGGACCCTGCTGTGGACTTGTATTTCTCCATTATCATTCATCCTGTTCCGTGTTCCCATCAGTCCGGGGACCTGGGGGGAAAGTCATAAGAGGGAGGGGGGGATAATGTGCCCTGAAGGGAAGCCAGTGGCCTGTCCCCTTAGCCTAGCGTCAACTATTGACAAGATGAGATGAGGCATGGTACACGTCTTCGACATTGTGTTTCTGTCCATGGGGACATCAGGAGGGTCTCTTTGAACCTGGTTCCTTCATTGTCTCCAGGTATCAAAGGAAGTCTTTTGAGTGCTTTATTGAGTTGTTATTGGCATTGCCCAAAGGAGAGTAACTGCTAAGATGGTTTCCCAGACAAGACTTAAAAATGAAGACAACTGGATAAGGTTTTCTTAGTTCTATGTGATTAGCCTCACTAAAATAAAAATAAAGTCATATTAATATAAAAATGGCTCTTATCCCACTGGTTTATTACAAACTTAATTCTAGCTGGGTACAGTGGCTCATGCCTATAATCCCAGTGGCTCTGGAGGCTGAGGCAGGAGGATCGTAAGTTTGAGGCCACCTCAGCAGCTTAGCAAGGCCCTGATCAATTCAGTGAGACCCTGTCTCTAAATAAAATACAAAACAGGGCTAGGGCTATGGCTCAGTGGTCGAGTGCCCCTGAGTTCAATTCCAGGAACCAAAAAAACCCACTTAATTTTAATAGAATCTGCCTAAAATAGAGAATTAAACCTTTTGAGGTGAGCAGTTGAGAAAGCTCAGTACCTCTATGAAGTGACATCAGAGGAGAGAGATTTGGGAATCCCATAATAAGTTTCAGCACTGATTCATCACCAAAGGTATATATTTGGGCAAATGACACTTCATTGGTGGAAAAGTCCATTTGTTAAGATGCTAAAGCTGAAGTACCAAAAGACTTGCTTTGTCCTGGGGTCTGTGTTTGTGTCTGTGTTTCCTGACTCACTGGTGGTGTCTTTAACATCCCGAGTGTCACTGGGCGGCTTTCTTTTCAACGGAGAACTCTCAGAGTTGATTTGCCATGTTCCCACTGATTCTCCAAAGGAAGCAAATGCTCTCTCTCTGGGGACTGAGCTGTGTGGTAAGCCTGAATCTGCAGCCACCCCCGCCCTACCTTGATGGCTGACACCTAAGTGTGCAACATCAGGCAAGAGGGGGCTCCATTTGGTGTCCCTGTGGGGTGGGCAAATGTTCCTGTGTTAAGTGATACTAAGAAAAATGCGTCTGGGCTGGGGGTCTCTGCAGAGGCCCTTTCTCTGTTCCCAGAAAGGCCTCCTAGCCCTTGGCGGACTTCAGATAGGCCCTGAGGCTGACAAATAGCAGTGCTCTATTAGGATAATAACCCTCCTACTTGAGTGAACCAAAGACCAGATGCTGCTTGATTTAATTTGTTGTTTCAATGAGGCTATTACAGCAAATACCCTTTACCCATCGACTTGCACAGATATATACATACGTATATACAGTTACCTTAGTGTGCTCAATATTACTCTCCAATTGCTTTTACAGGCGTCTTATGATGTCGCGGAGCTTGTGTTCCGTGGCAGCTTAGCTACAGCAATTACAATAAAAGAGGATTGGATAAAAAGCACCTGTGTAAAGCCAGAGCATGCAGCTAGCTCAGGGAAAATAAGAGACTCAGAATCCTCTGGCTTGTACCTGCCTGACAGTTCCCTGCCTCCTGGTGTATTTAGTCACTCTACACCTGTAAAGGGACACTCTCGCTGACCAGAAAACTGCATAGCCATGTTCTTCATTTCTATATCCTACTGTACAAACTTGGGGAAAGAATAAAATTTTCACTACTCACCTCTTAAGCCCTAAATCCCATTAATTAAACAAACCAGAAAGTATGCAGAACAGTGTTTTGAAATCTCCATAAGGATCACAGCAACTAAATTATATATGTTCTCTTTAAATAAAAGTGATGTCACTTTATAGGCCAAAAACACCCTATGTATACATTCATGTATATTTAAAAATTAAGTGAAAATAGCCCAAAAAAGGCTATTAATAAAAAAATTACCTTATTGAAGGAACAGAGTGGTATATAGAATTATTTCATGTATAGTAGTCATCTATTTTTCTGGAAATTTGTTTTAAAAAATGACATTTTTATTTTAAAGCCCTTAAGCATTACTGAGTGCTAAACATAAGATATCAAGTTATTGGGTAATAAATGAGTATTTCAATGTTGAAATATAGGCAGATTCTGGAATAAAGTAGTCATTTTAACAATGAGTTGTGTGGTTGGTTAATCTGGATTGCTTTTGTACTGGGGAATTGAACCCAGGGGTCCTTAACCACTGAGCCACACCCCCAGCCCTTTTTTCCTATACTTTACCTAGTGACAAGGTCTCACTGAGTTGCTTAGGTCCTTGCTGCTGAGGCTGGCTTTGAACTCATGATCCTCCTGCCTTAGCCTCCCAGGCCTCTGGGATTACAGGCATGTGCCACCATGCCTGGCATGGAACTTTTTTGTTATCATGAAAGGTTGACTATCTTTTTCAGTGATGATATTAAAATCCTGTAAACTTTGCATTTGGAAGAACTAGGTTTTTTGTTTTTGTTTTTTCAGAGCTGGGGAGCTAAACCAGGGCCTGGCAAATAGGAAAGCACTCTACCACTGAGCTACCCCCAATCCTTGAGAGTAAATATTTTGGTGAAAATGACCTAACAAATCAAATTATTAGTTTTACTCATCTTGATTATCTTTAGGAAGAAAAAAGTGACTTAAACAAAAATTAGGGGCTGGGGTTGTAGCTCAGTGGTAGAGCATTTGCCTTGCACGTAGGAGGCCCTGGGTTCGACCTCAGCACTACATTAAAAAAAATAAATAAAATAAGGTATGGTGTCCATCTACAATTAAAAAAATGTAAAAAAAACACAAATTAGAATCGGGCATGGTAATGTACGTCTGTAATCCCAAGAACTCAGGAGTCTGAGGTAGGAGGATCGCAAGTTTGAGGGCAGACCTTGGTCACTTAGCAAGATCCTGTTTCAAAAACCAAAAAGGGATAGGGATGTAGGTTAGTGGTAGACCTCCCCTGGGTCCAACCCCTGGTACATAAAAAGCAAAAAATAAAAACAAATCGATCAGAAACACTTTTAAACCCAAGTCGTTTACTTCCATTCCCTAGTTGATAAAGCTTTTTAATTTACTTGATTCCCTTACAACGATACTGAGAAAAGCAGTCAATGCCGACGCCTCTCTTAGGTGGCCCTAACGGTGTGGACTTGGTTAGGAATCATCAGTGATATCCTTTGAAGAACTTAGGGCCCAGTGACTGGTCCGTTTCTTGTGCCCGTGTCGTCTGTTACTCACCTGTCTAGATCCTCTGTCTGTCTGCCTGTGTCGAAATGCTTTCATCTGTTCAAGCCTTGGCAGTCTCGGTCCTATAATTGTGCTCATCTTTGACCAGCCAAATAATCTGCCTTCCTTCTCCCCTCTCTGCAGTTCCCGACTACCAGGAACAGGACATCTTCCTCTGGAGAAAAGAGACTGGATTCGGATTTAGGATTCTAGGTGGAAATGAGCCGGGGGAACCTGTGAGTCTTGTCTGCTTCTTTCCTCAAGTGCTGTGTTCTGATACTTCACAGCAAATTGGTCACAGTGACAGGCCGTGGAGACAGGAGTCCGGCTACACCCGGCTCTGACTCTCATCCCAAGCAGTGCGGGATTCTCCTGGGCTTTTGCAGAGCTTTTTTTTTTTTTTTTCTTTTTTGACATGAGGAAGAAGGGAAGAGATCCTTAAAGTTCATAGTCTGTAGACTATGGCAGCTGAGGGTAGCAAAAGAAAAGCAGAAGTGGGGTGTGCACCCACAATTAAGGCCAGGGCCTGGTCCCCTTAGCTAAGTCTGTTCCTCTGCCCACAAGTAGGGGGCTTTGTAGGGTATGTGGCTGGTGCACAGAGAAGACACCAAGCAGTGTGACAGACACGAGAGTAGGACCTTGTCTTGACCAGAGCTGTGACAGAACCCTAAACAGGGGTCAGGAAACATGGGCCTGAGCTTCTTTGGGTTTAGAATCAATGCAGCATAACGTGACAGGGTTTTCTTTTGACAGGAGTAAAGAGAACTAGAGATGTGTGTTGTTCGTTTCTTTTTGATAACTGCTGCCACTGTTATTCATTAAGCACCGACTGTTTGCCAAGTACTGTTTTAAAGCCTTTTCATGTACTTTTCATCCATCTGATCCATGAGTTTATCCCCAATTTTCAAATCAGAAGATAAAAATGCAGAAAGGTTAATTAACTTGCCCAAGATCACAGAGACACTGACAAGGGTCCAGGAGCAGAATCCATATTGTTAGACACTGTTTTGTCCAAGTCCCTTGTAAACTCCAGGTGTTGCAGGAAGGTGATTGTAGTATTACCTACTACAGAGAAGGCAAGGTACACACAAACACTTCAGCTCGAGTTTAATGAATGGCAAGTATAACAGGCAGACATTAAATATAAAGAGTGGTCTGTTTTCAGGTGCTAAATAAAACCCACAGAAATGGGGATCTCAGGCCAGAACTTGCTGAACTCATCCATTCATTGGATCGTGTTCGTCGGGCACGCCCTATTGCTAGGCCTAGTGCTGAACCCTTAAAAAAGAGTCATGTTAGAATTAAAATGAGCAGGATTTTATGAAAGGAGTTTTCCTGGGTAGAGAGGAAAGGAAAAAAGAGTTCATAAATGAGGGGGGTAAAGGGATTCATTTCTCTAAAGGGGAAAAAGAAAGAGTGTCACCAGCATACCACAGATAAACATCCAGGAACAAAGCAAGAAACAGTTATTCTTTTCTCAATTTCAAAATGGTTGTTGCACCGAGAACAACGACTTATACAGTAGGTGCTCAGTAAATGCTGGTGGCATGCATGCGGACCCAAGTGAATGAATTGAATTATTCCTAGAAATGAGGAGGCCGTCGGTATAACAGTAAATCAGGAGGGCAACGTTTCACCCATGGTCCATTACCCAACAGATTTATATTGGTCACATCGTACCACTGGGTGCTGCTGACACAGACGGCCGCCTGAGGTCTGGCGATGAATTAATCTGTGTGGATGGGACACCAGTAATCGGGAAATCACACCAGCTCGTGGTCCAGCTTATGCAACAAGCTGCCAAACAGGGCCACGTCAATCTCACAGTGCGGCGAAAAGTGGTGTTTGCTGGTACGTTTTCTCATTCATTCCTCCTGTGCTCTGTCATTTCTGTGTCTGCCTCCTCAAGCTTCTATTTTAGCAAATGTTTGCAAATGTGATGGAGCTCAGGATTTCCAGAAGGTTTGCTTCTCTCCAACCCTGCAAAATGACTGTCATTCAAAAGTACTTTAATGTGCCATTTGCATATGTTCAGCAAAGGTTTCTAGAAGGATCTCCTTGAATATAGATGACCTGCCCACCCTCCCCTCACCAACTAGGACTTAGCCAGCCTCTTCATTTGATGATAATCCTCAACAAAAGAGATCATTAGGAATGTCTGAAAAGTTGCAGCTTCAAAATTGAGAGAATCAAACTTAGGTTTGTACTGCAAAAAAAAAAAAAAAAAAAAAAAAAAGTCTATAGAAAGGTTAATGCTAGTGTACCCTGTGATTGCTTGTTATATATATTAAACCAAACTTCTCTATTTCCTTTTTTTTTTTTTTTTGGTACTGGGGGTACTGGGGATTGAACCCAGGGCATTCAACCACTGAGCCACATCCCCAGGCCTTTTTAATATATTATTTAGAGACAGGGTCCTACTAAGTTGCTTAGAGCCTCACTAAATTGCTAAGGCTGACTTTGAACTTGCAATCCTCACATCTCAGCCTCTTGAGCCCCTGGGATTATAGGCATGTACCACCCTACCCAGCTATTTCCCTCTGTTACAAACAAACAAACTGTGGAACTGGCTACTTCTAAGCCATCTGTGATTGTTTCCTCATGACCTGAAGCTTCAAATTCTAGTTCTCAAGATATTACATATCCCTTCCTGCTTAGCTCAAAAATAACTTTCTCTCTACAAAATGCCCTCCTTCTTCCACATATCTTCAAATTTTACATTTCCTGTTTGCCTTTCTTGTGACTCATGGCTTACTTCTGTATCAGAATCTACCATGCTTAAAATTTGTTCGTTTTAGGTACCCGTGGCAATTAACTGTATTTTGACATAGTATATATACATGGAGCATAACTTCCAACAGAATCTGCCATTTGAAACAGCTCGTGATGTAAAAGTCTGACCTTTCCATTGGCTAACCAGCTTCCTAAAAGCATATACCTTAATTGTTGACCCTTGTATGCAGTCTCCCACCCCAAAGCCTGTAAGACAGCCCAGAATGTAGAAAAGGAAGACTGAGGGTTGCATCGACTGAATTACTAAAGCAATATGACATCAGATATTAACAATTCTCCATAGTTATTATTAGTATAACAAATACCTATCAGATAAAATTAATTGGTTTCTTTTTTTTTAAATGAGTGTAACTAACTTTAAGTGGTATGTAATTAATTATAGAATTAAGATATTAAATTCCAGTGTGAGAGTCCTACCTACTGCAGCCCAGTGCTAATCAGTCATAGATTATGTTCCTAGAGCTCATTTACAGCCTCACAATCCTTTTTAACGTAGTATTCTGTTAAGGCAGCAGTAGTCAGCTAAAATTGGTTTTTGAGAAGAGTTCAAGGAAAAAAAAAAAGGGAAAGGATTTTACTTCCCTGGCTCAAATAAAAATAGTGAGGCGTGTGGGCTCTTTGTTTTACGTTTATTTTTTTTAATTTTTAATATTTTAGATATTTAACTGTGGATAAAAGGCATGTTAAACCTGTGAAGAGACATTATGTCAAGTGAAATGAGCTAAGCACAGGAGAAAGATGATTGTGTGATTCGGCCTTCGTGAGGTTTCTAGAGTGGTAAAATTCATAGAAACAAACCAGTAGAGCAACAGAGTTTGGAGACGGACATTGATAGTGGTTGTACAACCACCATAATGTACCTATGCCCCTGAATTGTGCACTTCTGAATGTTTATAAAGTTCAAATTTATGTTCTGCATGTTTTTCACAATTTAAAAAAAAAAAAAAAAAAAACAACCCTATGGAAGGAGAAGCTTTGGGAGATAAATATAGCCTCCTCCACTACCTGGACACCACATGCATTTTGATTTTGGCACGGTTGGTCCCAGGTCCTCTGTTGGCTTTAACTTTGTCAGCTGACAAAGCCATACAACTGGAATGGTGACTGAATTTGGAAGGGGGTTAATGCTCCCAGTTGTGTGGTTAGGGCAGATGCTGACATGTGGAAACTAGGAAGAAAAGTTATATGTGCCTCTTACAGGTGTTGTCCCTGATCCAATGTGTAGAAACCTTAAAGGTTCAGTCCCCTTACAGTCACCTACATGAGAAAAACAAACTCTGGGCAGAAATGTGATTCAGAGGGCATGGCAAGATGACTGTGTGGCTCAGGCTGTCTGTGAGGCCAAGATAGTAGCCATCATTGATACAGTCCCTGTCCGTGCTTGCTCTCCATTGCCCTTTGTGCAACAGGGAGCTATTTCAGAGTGGGCTAGTCTTGCTGCCAACTTGAATATGCTGTAGCAGTACGAGATTTGGGGTTCCTCTTTGGATCAGTGTTCTTGGCCATCACATGGTTAGTGTTCCTAAGAAAGGCTGTTTTCCATTCAGGTATTGAGTTCTGTGAGGCCAGGGGCTGCTGTCCCACATCCACCTGATGATTTCAGGTGTTGGAGGTAGGGGAAGGTGGAAGGGGTGGCAGGGCACGTTTTTTGGTGGTGTCAAGATTTAGACGTGAACCATGTGCAATGTTGCATGCCTATAATCCCAGAGGCTTATAAGGCTGAGGCAGGAGGATCATGAGTTCAAAGCCAGCCTCAGCAACAGTGAGGCCCTGAGCAACTCAGTGAGACCCTGTGTCTAAATAAAATACAAAATAGGGCTGGGGATGGGGCTCAGTGTTCCAGTGACCCTGAGTTCAATCCCTATTACAACCCCCCCCCCAAAAAAAAAAAATAAGACTCAGACGCAAATCTCTGTTGCAGTCCCGAAGACCGAGAACGAGGTGCCCTCGCCAGCCTCCTCCCACCACAGCAGCACCCAGCCGGCCTCGCTGACGGAGGAGAAGCGCACCCCGCAGGGCAGCCAGAACTCCCTCAACACCGTGAGCTCGGGCAGCGGCAGCACCAGCGGCATTGGCAGCGGCGGCGGCGGGGGCAGTGGCGTGGTCAGCACCGTGGTCAGCACCGTGGTGCAGCCCTACGACGTGGAGATCCGGCGCGGGGAGAACGAGGGCTTCGGCTTCGTCATCGTGTCCTCGGTGAGCAGGCCCGAAGCAGGCACGACCTTCGGTGAGTGCTGAGCGCATTTGTCCGGGGTTCCCTCCGCGCCAGGGCAGGCTCTCTTGCCAGGGGAAGTCAGCCAGGATCTCATTAACAGAAACGCTTTAATGCTTTTTGCTTTGGGTAATTAGAGTCTTAACTGGGGATGGAGTCTCTTTGGGAGCTTTTTCCCTCCTAAAGTTGGGGGGAAAAAAATTAACCCTTTTAGTTTTCATTCTAAATGTGTGATAGCAAAGCTTCAAGCCTACATGAGGTTTGCGTGAAACTTAAATAGCAACCCCTTGACAGCATGAAGTAGCTGAAGTGTTTGCCATACAGACTGTGGACACGTCCTAAGTAGAATATCCTTAATAGCAATGCCCTCAGAAAGTCTTCCAGGTTTATAAAAGGAGCATCAGGACACAAAAAAATGATCAGGAAAGAAAAAAAAAAAGAGGTGTAAGGAGTTAAATGTGACATGAGGTGCTCTTCCCAACTCCTCTGTACCCTTTCTCTATCCCTATCTGAATATTTTAAATGTTTAAAGTAATATTTTCCTGTTTCTTGATCTAAGAATCTGGTTAAGATCTGGGTTCGAAGTCATTTGATGTTGGGTTACATTCTAATGTCGGGGGTTTCAGCCACATATGGAGAAACACCAGTGTTGCTCTCTCCAAGTCTTTGCTGTCTTTGCATGAGCGAAAACAACAAGAACTCAGATGAGTCTATCAGATGGCTCTATTTCTCCTTACAATGGATCATAGACAATACACTTCAAAAAGATGCACCTTCCTGATAAGATTTCAAAAGTCCTTTGCCATCTCCCAGGCGTGGTTGTTAGTAAATATGTGATGGGAGAAGGGAAAGAGCCATGAAGGCTCTGACATTTACCCCAAGTGACCTGACCACTTGAAGCCTGATGACCAGTGGCCTTGGTCACTCACTGGCTAGGATCAGCAAGGTGCTACATCTCCTTAGCGTTCTGATCCAGTAGAACTCACTTTGCATCCATTTAGAAGGTTGCTTCCTGCTAAAGCTGCCTTGCCCTTAAGTTTTACATTCTGAAGGAGACACTCAGCCAGGTCTATGCATGTGTGGCTGCAGTAACAAACACCCCTTACTAACAGTGCTTTTGTGAGCTACATTAATAAAGTTATCATAGCATGTCCTGGCTGGATAACCTGAAAACAAAGCTAGGGGTTTTTTTTTATTTATTTATTTTTGTGTGTGTTTTGTTTTGCTTTTTAAAATAATTTTGGAGATTTTTCTGCTTACTTTAAAAAAGAAAGTAAGAAGAGAAAAGAAACCCCAAGTTGTTTTTCCCTTCAGATCTACAATTTGACATGTACCACGTAATACCTTCAGCTATTTCAGAATTCTCACATTCAGTTTCTAGAAAGAAAGAACAGATATGTCGGGTTTCAGGTTATGTGTTGTATGATGAATATTGAATGTTTTTACTTACAATTTGGTCTTTGATTGTTTTCCTTTGATTCTTACAATCAAATTAAACTTTGCCTAATACCTTGCATGAGACTTCTGAGCTGTGCAGCGCTTTCCTGGAACCTGCTGTTTGATACCTTTGCCATTTGAGTTCTCCTTGGAGATGAGCTAAACTTAATCAAGACCTTGAGTCTGAGTCTCCATGCTCCCACCACACCTGTTTGTTGGCTTCCAGTAGACAGCTTGCCTTCTTTTGAAACTTGGGCAAATCTGTTGAAATCAAAACAATAACGGGCATTTCCCCCCACCTTTGACCCTTCTAAATTATGATGGAAGTTCCAACTCAAGTAGTTTCAGGGTCTGCCATGTTAACTTTGCCATCTTCCCAAAAGGTGGCTTCACATCTTTATTGTTCCTAGAAAGACTAATTCTCAAAATAGATGCATATGAATAAGAAACATTGAAACTTGATATCTGATGACCTGGAAATCCCATGTCGGACCTCAAAGCCAATTTCTACCTTTCTCTAGAAGCTAGTAGTGACATGGAGTATCTCCAAGCACTCTTCAAATACCCTTTTCCTGGTAATGCAGATTGTGGATGTATACTAACTGTTGATGAGAAAGGAAATGATGAAAGGAAAAGGGGCTGAGGATTGATTTGAACTTGGCTTTGGATCAGCATCCTCCGTCTGAACGAGTACTAGGTTCTCATATTCCTTTGGGGGGACTTTTGGGAGGCAGGAGGAGGATTTCGGAGCTAATGAGCCTGCTGAGCCCTCCCCTGAAAGCACATGAGATGGGCCGATTGAGCAGAGGTCCCATCATGAAGGAAGTGTCAAGGTTGGATGCTTTCTTGGCTCATCTCTCGTAATTATGCCCCTTTTCTACAGCTTTCATCATTCTGAATAGAAGGCAGAAAGTGCTGGTCCATTAGTGATTTCAGATTGAATTTGGGGTATAGGAGACTCTTAGACCTCACCAGAAAGCCAGGGATTATGTTTCTAAATGGTGAAAGAACAAAACATTGGCAGCAGCTTATACAACACCTGGCAAAAAACTAAATGACTCTGTGAAAAGACCCCCCTCCCCCGCCCTGCTCTGGGCCTCACATTAGTGGTCCCTAAATAAGCCAACAGTAAGCTATTTGGGGCTCTCGAGTCTCTTTGAAGTTGCTAGAGAGCCCAGATTGTGCAATTATTGTAGGAGGGAGACAAGGGTGTTTCCCTTGGAATCAGGGAATAGCTACAGCCGTGAACTCTGGTTCAGGGCATGGCCTCAGAGCTAGGCACCTAGTATTGCCAATGTTTTGACCGTCGGCACAGAGCTCTCCTTTAATAACATTTGCTTAATGCTTTAATTAATTAACACTTAACCTTCTCTTTCCCTTTTCAACCCTTTTTCTCCTCCCTTCACTATATTCCCACGTAACTTAAAAAAAAAAAAACAACTTAAAATTCAATATCAAAGCAGGCAATGCATGTGTGGCTATGCCTCACAAAATAGGTCGGATTATTGAGGGGAGCCCTGCTGACCGCTGTGGCAAGCTGAAAGTAGGAGACCGGATCTTGGCAGTAAATGGATGTTCCATCACCAACAAATCCCATTCAGACATTGTCAACCTAATCAAGGAAGCAGGAAACACAGTTACCCTCCGCATCATTCCTGGGGATGGTAAAGTATACCTCTTATCTCTCTCCCTCTCTCTCATGTGCTCTCTCTCTCTCTCTCTCTCTCTCTCTCTCATTAATGCTCATGTAATTGAATAGTTTTGACTTAGAGGCAGCTCTGTCAGTCCCTAACTGAACATACCCATCAAGCCAACATAGCCATTGTTACTAAACCACATCTCACCTTCATCTGATTCATCCCATCGCCCTGGGATCCTGTCTTTCTACAGATAGGGGAACTCCACAAAGCCTCCAGTGTGCCCCTTCAAAACTACACAGAAAACTGTAAGTTTTCATGCAAGTAGTAAAGATTACCTGATGTTCTATCTGGAACTCATGAATGCCCTTTTCAAATCATCACTGAAATTTAATAGTAGAATATGGCAACTTCTCAAAACCTACCTAACGGGAGTGCAGAGCCAGTACTATGCTCTTCCAGAATAAGTGAATGTATCAAAATTTTTATTTAATGAGAAAATCTTAGGGTTTATGCCTACTTGATTTGTCCTAATTTTGGAGGGAGGGGGGGTATTGGAGATTGAACTCAGGGGCACTCGGCCACTGAGCCACATCCCCAGCCCTATTTTATTTAGAGACAGGGTCTCAATGAGTTGCTTATACCTGGCTTCTACTGAGGCTGGCTTTGAACTCACCATCCTCCTCCTTCAGCCTCCTGAGCTGCTGGGATTACAGGTGTGTGCCATCACTTGTAGCCCAAATTTTTACATGTAGATGAAGAAAAAATTAAATATCTTCATTTTTCATAGATTATATTTACATTAAATTAGAACTATTCTTTTATGCCTATTTGCTTGACTCATTAAAGTCAAATCGTTGGTTTTTCCCTACCCCACCCTCTGCCGGACCACGAGGACATTTGTCAATGTTGGCAGTGGCACCTAGTGGGTGCAGACTAGAGATGCTCCCAAATGTCCTAAAGTACACAAAAGAGCCTCCATAATAATAACCCCGTGCAAAAATATCAGTGTTTGTCTTCTTACTCATATTTTGTAAACATGAAGTTGATAACACTAATATCAGTAAGTATAGATTGCTTTGGCACTTAAATCCTGAATAATTGATTGATAAATAATTGATCCTACACCAACCTAGCCCTTGGGACAAAAGTTATAACTTGTTACAAAATGTTTAATTGCCTTTTTTCATTCTTTCCATACATGTTATAAAATAAAATACATATTCTAAAAGCCACTGAGTATTTCTCAAGAGAGAAATGTGGTTTATATAGATAGTACAGTAAAAACATGCTATGCCATAGATCCAATAAAGTAAGAAAATCAAACATTTTATCTGGAAGTCATTCACCAAATAAGTATTTTTATATAGTAATTATGAGAAAGTGAATTTTTTGGTTCAAGTTTTGATTGATGTAGCCAGTGATTTTCAGAACAAGTAAATGCAAAACTAAACAGTAAATATTTGACATTTTTTCATTCTAAGAACAGAAAACTTTCTTTGTGCCAAAAATATCCCATACCAATTGGAGAGAAAGAAAATAGTTCCTTGAATGGTGGTCTTCCTCACCCTCTTTCCAACCATGGTTAGTAATTTACCATCTGGTCTGAAGTCCATTCCACCAAATTACCACTCTGGAAAGCTATTACAGTTTACAAAAGTGAGCACATGATGATAAAATGTGGAAACATAGATTCTTAATGGAAAGGATAAACGAAACCAGAAAAATGGAGTGAGGAATGGTTCAGAGACTATAGAGAGATTGCAAAAAATAATCCAGAAGAATGGGAAACAGGAATTGACTTGCCGGTTCTGTACTGGTTTGTTTTAATATGGGAATGAGAATGTCTCAGAAAAGAAGGAAAGAAAGCTCTCCTTGCAGGAAGGGCATAGAGAAAGAGTTTGAAATCAGAAAAGACAAACATATGCAAAAGCAACTTATACTACTCTGCACATACTAGGTGTTGAGTTAGTGAAGTAGAGTCACTGTATTTTTGAAAACCTGAACCCCCCAAAATATAATGCACTGTGGATTGTCCCCTAACAGTTGGCAATAAAAAGGAATTCTTAAAACTTCAGTGCTTACAAAATTCAGGCAGATCTCTTGTGCTCCTTAGAAGATAGTAAAATAAAGTAGTGAAGGATTGATATCTTTAAAGATGGCCCATGATCTGCTGAGGTTGATCTCATCTAAAATGTTTCTAAAATGTTCTATCATTGTGCCATGATAATAAACGTTTTTGCCAGTGACTTTGTAAGTATCAAGATCTAAGTAAAGGGAATCACTTCTATCAGAAGGTGAAGTGCAATGCTCATCTTTAAGGGGCCATCTTGGAAATTAGAGCGGCGGCAGGGGAGTTAGATTTCTGGGGGAATTAGATAGCAATCCAAGAGAATGTCTCAAACACGTACAAGAAGTAGAATGACCATGACAGTGTGATGAAGAGAAAATCTTGCTTGATCTACTTCCTCTGTGTGCAAGTTAGACATGGCTGACTGTGGAGGTATAGGGAGGTGCTCTCTGGATTAGGGCCCTCTGGTCTCCTTCAGATCTTTCATTCTGATATTTACCTCATCAAGTAGCCCAAAGACCAATTGTTTCATGGTATCTACAAGGAGTTCGAAGTTTTTAGCTAGCATGGTTCTAAGCGCTTAGAGATCTATCACGTCTGAAATAACAGTTCTTAGAAACCCCAGGAGGCACTTGGAGAAGATTCCCCCTCATTTGTACAGTGCTCAGAAACCCTCTGAATCTACTATTTTTGGTACCAGGGATTGAACTCAGGGGCAATCAACCACTGAGCCCCATACCCAGCCCTATTTTTTGTATTGTATTTAGAGACAGAGTCTGAGTTGCTTAGAGCCTTGTTTTTACAGAGGCTGGCCTTGAACTTGCCTCAGCCTCCTGAGCCACTGGGATTACAGGTGTGCGCCACCATGCCCGGCTGAATCTACTCTTTAACTCATGGTACCCAAGTCTGTTTTCTTGCCATCAGATTCCTCATTCTTTTTCTAATTTCCCTTATCTCAGACTTTAGTTTCCCTGACTTGCTTCTCCCATTTCTCTTACCTCTATAACAAAACTCCAAAATATAACTCCCTTTTATTTGGCATGTCTATGCTGTTAGAAGGTTTACCTCCACAAATCTTAGACAGGCTGTGACCAGGGGAGTCTATACTTCTCTGTCATTTATGAATTTGGGGTCAGGGTGGGAGGTTGAGTTAGGGGAGAACCTTTTCTTCTGTGAGATATGGGCAAGGGATAGTAAATACACAACAGCCACACAGAAAGGCCTAAGTAGCTGAACAGATTGAATCCGAACTTGATCTCCAACAAGTCAGACCACACTTGGATCATACAGAAATGTCCATGTAGTCTTATTCTGAGTGGGAAGAAGAGTAATCAGAGCAGAGCCTGAACCAAACTAATGTGGAATCATGTTCAAAATAATGAGAATATGAGAATATATATATATATATATATATATATATATATATATATATATTTTTTTTTTTTTTTTTTGAATTGTGGTCTTGAATTTCTTCTTCAGTTCACCTGATTCAGAGTGTTTGCTTTTAGAGATGAGCTTGCAAAACAGATATTGCTATTTCCTTGGCAAAGGTATAGATAGTAAAAAGTCCTCCCTGAACTTTCCACATATTTGTGGGGTTCAGATTTTCCAATATCACCTTCAGTATTTATGACACATATGTTTACACAATCAAATATTTATGAAAGAAATGATCATGTTCTTTGTTGATTTGCTTAGCTTTTCATGTGGATTCCGGAAGGAAGGGTAAGAACATTGACATAGGAACAAGGCTAGAATCATAATCACTTGTCACAGAGATAGGCTCAAACCCAAGGTAGAATCTCCTGTCAGAAGAGTGAGGGCCCCGATTTCCAACAGCCTCATGACATGCTTAAGAGCTGTTTTTCTTGATACATGATTGCTATGGAAAGTATATTAATATCCATTTTCATTCCTCTGGGAGAGCTAAAGTAGGTATAAACTCTGTTTAATAAAGAATGTGGGAGGCACTTTCTGGAATATCCATAAAAATATCCAATAGATTCATCTGCCTTAGTCTTTTAAAAGTCAAATATATTGACACTCCTTTATAATATCGCTGCTGGAGGGTGAGTGGAGGGTGAGGAGGCTAGACTCTTTTTCAGGCTCTTTTTTTTTTTTTCCTATTATACAGGGCAAATTTTGCTTTGGGGATAGAGCTATAAATTTTTGATAATGGACCTCATCTCTATATTTTAAAAAGTTAGAGAACATTTCAGCAGATACAATTTTGGTTTAATTCCAAATGAAGACTTAAAAGTTTATGAAAACAAGTCTAACTTTATTGGTATTATAAAAGCACTCTGGAAATCAAGGCCATGCTAAAATTCTTTTGGTCCTCTGAAAAGAACCCATGAAATTCAGTAGTCCAAGCAGGGCATTCTGTATTTTGGTTAATCTAGGATACTGCCTAGAGAAATTAGTAGCAGTTATGCAGTAAAATGAAAACATTGCTTACATGAACGGAGGTGTCAATCAGGTATGATTTTCTGGATACCAACACAGATCCCCATGTGAACAGTAAGACTAAAAGCACACTTTCAGGCAAGCCCGAGTTTGATTCCCATTACTTGCCTCCTGGGTGATCCTGGGCAGTTTCTTACCTTTCCTATGCGCCAGCGTCTCCATCTATAAACAGGGCGATAACTTGCACTGGTTTTATGAAGTGGTGGCCATTAATTGAAGTAGCGCCCACGGTCGTGGTCCCAGTACAGTGCTTGCTTGGCACTCTGCACATGGTCTTGTAAATGGTGGTTGTTCATAGATTTTAAAAAATGCAAAATAAGGAAAAGTCCCTGAGCTCAAATAGGCATTTGCATATTAAGCATTAATTTCTTTAAAAAGCTCAAAGTGAAGCTGCAACCCTAAAAAAGATTTGCATGTAAATATAATTGGGGAAAACAGCAAATGAAGGATAAGAGGAAAATTAATAAGGACATTCTGTTTATATGTGTTTTGAGTGATTATCTGTTATATCATTAAATCATGAAAGCAGCAGAAATATGAAAAATCATTTGAGAATAGGATTCCATATTCCTGGAATATTCCAGCTACCAAAAGCACACAATAACTCCAAATGGGAACTTCTTCACAATTCAGTAATTCTAATCACTTTAATTACAAAGAAATGTTCTTTTTTTGGTACCCTGATTGTGATTTCCCCATGGCCCAAATGATCTTATGATTTCCCAGAGAATCTTTATAAAATGAATTACAATGAGCTGTATGAGGTTAGCTAAAGGACCAGATTTTATGGGAGCTCTGGTGAGTGTCACTGACAGTCTGTGTGTCCTGTGTACTGACCTGGTGGATGACTTGTATGAAATATCACTTAGATTCATCGGTTTTGCCAGTTAACTGTGCTTGAATGGGAGTGATATGAAGGTGCTAATGACCTTCCAAATGCTCTAAAAAAACCATTTACAGTAGTAATCCTAAAAATGTACCAGTAATATGCTTTTAATATTATAATAATACATACTAAAAGTATGCTAATAATTTTTTTGAGCACTAATGTGTCTGGCACTGTCCCTAATAGTTCCTCTTAGATCATCACTGTACCACTTTCCTTAGATACTTCTGTTATTCTCCTTTGCAGATGAGGAAACTGAGACACTGAAAGTTGAAATGGCTTTGCTCTTGTCCTGTCTAGTGCAGCCTACTATGCAAAGCGAGGCAGTCTGACTCAGAATCTGACCCTTGTAACCATTTGGCTAACCTGCCTCCCAGTAAGCTTGAGGCACAGCCTTTGCCTGACCCAAGGGTCTCAAGTCACACTAGGCCAGTCAATGCTCTGAGGAGTCCATAGGAACAAGGAACCAGACATCTGTGTCCCCTTTGTTTCACCCTTTAGTTCCCAGACTTAGTGGATCACAGGTTCTTCTCCTTCAGAATCTGTAGAAACATTTGTAGAACACATTGTGAGAAACATTGTCCTAAAACATGAATAAGATTCATAAAACTATGCTTTCTACTTACATTTTCTTATTAATCTTGGGCATGGCTATAAGAATCAGGGACTTTTATGGCTGGCATATAAACTGTTAAAATCCTCTTTAACCTTCTCTTGCTGCAGAGAGTTTCCCTAACTTAACGATGCCCCCATAGTAGTGTAGTGAATGTGTTGAATGCGGGCTGTGGTCTAGCACCGATGCTATGCGTCTCGCATCCTTTCATCCTGAGAGGACCGATCGATCGGCAGCATTCCCTCGTCCTGGGTGAGAAGAGTCAGGCACACCATTAATGGGTGGAGAAAGAGGGATTTGAATTCTGTGTGAATCTCAAACACATGCTTTTAACCGCTGTGTGTCATGAAAGTAAAGTAACAGGACACCAGACCCGAATTGAGCAGTGTTCTCAAGAAATTAAAATGGAAGAGAGACCACCAGCCATTGGGTGCATAGGAGGTCTCTTATCCCAGGACTGTAGGGGAACAAGGGGTGGGGAGGGGAGTGGAAGGGGAGGAGAGATTACAGGCTTCTTAGTTTCAAGTACTTAAAATATTATCCCATAGAAACCTCCTTATACCCAATGTAGTCAATAAACATCGAAGTACTAGGAAGCATAGAACTCAGGGAATCTTCTAGACCTCATGGTTCACTATTAATTAAATGGGCACTTGCAGGCTAATTTTAGAACCTAACAACCACAGTTAGTATTTTCTTTTCTTTCTTTCTTTTCTTTCTTCTTTTTTTATTTTTTTTTATTTTTATGTGGTGCTGAGGATTAAACCCAGTGCCTCATGCATGCTAGGCAAGCACTCTACCTCTGAGTTACAGCCCCAGCCCCTAGTATTTTCTTGATGAGAAAATAAAAGCCAAGTTCCTAAGAGTCCATTTAAGAATAAATATTAAATGTATGGCTCGCTCCTGGTGGTTGCTACTTACCTTGATTTTAATGGAGAAATTATTAGCAAAAAAGCATATATCTGTTACCATACGAGTGATTAAATTTTAATACATACACATGGATGTGTTATCTATAGTTTTTGGTTTTTTTATGATTTTTTTTTTCAGATTCTGAGTCTCCAAACTGGTAGAGATTATGAAGTTGCTTATGAATGTGATGAGTGGAGAAGAAATTCAATTTACATAGGAATATAATCCTATTCCTTACTTTAAAGCAGCTTCATGATTTATACAACTTATGTTTATAACTCTGGTTCTTCTAATGCAGGTTTTAAAATTAATCTTTCATGAGTGATACTAGATGGAGATCTGTCAAGAGTTCCATATTTTCACTTGTGCTTTATGAAAAGCAATGAGGAAGAAAGGAGATGTTATTTGTGTTTAATAATATGTTAGCTCACTTCTGAATTTAATATTCACATGAGGAAATCAGGCATACTTACCAAATGCTGCTGATAAGTTGCAGGAAATGTTAGCAGGGACATTTATTAGCAGCCTGTACAATCCTGTGAAATACCTCCGGGGCGGCCCAGTGTTTTGATGGATTGCCATCTCTCAGTGGTGGGGAGGAGTCAGACACACCAATGCTGGCTGTAATTTTAGAGCAGCTTTTCCCCTGGCAGACCCTATTTCATTTGAGGGAATGTCTGCTTAGGAGGAGGGTCACAGTGGGGGGCATACATGAGCCACAGCAGAGAAGATCTTAGGATGGTTCATTAAATTCCTGAGTCTTTAGAAATTTGAGTCCAACTAATTGAAATGGGGACAGGGAAGTCAGATTTGTCACTTAGAGACAGGGTTTCTGCTCACCTCCCAGTTGGATGATGTCTTCTCTCAGGCCTTCATTTCTTTATGCTCTGTCCCACAGAGTCCTCAAATGCCACTTTGCTGACCAATGCAGAGAAGATTGCCACCATCACCACCACACACACCCCTTCTCAGCAAGGGGCCCAGGAGACAAGGTCAGCTGAGACTTTGGTTCCTTTTGTTACTTTAAAGGGGGAAAAGGGACCTGTCCTCTCATCATGATGAGACATGTTTTCCGTCTCCCCCTGCATTGCTGTTATATTTATTTCTCTCACTTTGGCAGGAACACCGCCAAACCAAAGCCGGAATCTCAGTTCGAGTTCAAAGCTCCCCAGGCTACCCAGGTGAGGGTCCTTTCTCCTTTTTTTTGTTTCCTGCATTTTGCTCATTTCCTTCCAACTTTCTGAAGCTGTTTTTACAGGATATTTTTTTGAAGGGCATCCTTAATTTAAAATAAACGTCCTTTTGTGCAGTGATTTTCCACATATATACTCATATTTGCTTGACATATATACTCATATTTGCTTTTATTTTACTACCTTTGAAAAAATATTCTAACATATGCTTTGGTAGGGAGAGAAAAATAAGACCAAAATACTGAAAAGCTGTCACAAGGATCAGTGGTCGGAGAAAAAGCAAAGCATCTAATAACTGTTTGCAAAATCATAGTTCTTCAAGAAAATCTCTTTTTGTTGTTGTTGTTGTTAAGGTGGTTTTGGGGACTGTGGATTTCAGGTGAGAGCCAGGATACCTGCCTCTCAAGATGGTTAGCAAGTGAAACAAATCTGGGAACCACTGGGTGATGCCGAGATAAATAAGTTTCTTTTCTGCTGGCCTCTGTGGACCCTTCAGTAGTCCGTTTGTGGTCTTGCCCACACAGAATGGGAACCACTCCCCAGACTGCAGAGGTTGGCATAGACACAGTGCTAGTGGTAGACCCTGGTGCTTCTCAGGCCAGGTTCAAGGAAGCTGAACATCCAGCCACAAATGGATGGTATCATGTGATGAAGAAGCTTCCTGCCCTAAATGCAGATTGCAACCTTCCTAGTTGAATTTTAATGTGTGCATAGGTATAAGCATGATCCTAAGTGTTTCAAATTCTGGATTTCCAACTTCTGATATTAATGAAGATTAATGAGGATGACTAATAAGCACTTAAGAGTCACTAAGAGAGGACTAGAGACTGTGCCTTTCGGCCAAATCAACATGACATGGAATGTTTGGGAAGATATGAGAAAAACATGTGTGGATAGCAGTTCTACCTGAATGACTGCATTTAATTTCTTTAAATAGGAGCAAGATTTTTACACTGTGGAACTGGAAAGAGGAGCCAAGGGATTTGGCTTTAGTCTTCGAGGGGGTCGAGAATATAACATGGACCTCTATGTTCTGCGCTTAGCAGAGGATGGTCCTGCAGAAAGATGTGGAAAGATGAGGGTAAGTAGGAAAAGGAGGCTGGAGTAGATGTGAAGAAGCATCTGCAGTGACTTACGTTTTTACTGTTGTTGTTGTTGTTGTTTGTTTTTAGATATACATAACAGTAGGGTGTATTCCGACATGTTATACATACATGGAATTCAACCCATTACAATTTTGATTCCATTCTCATAGTTGAATATGATGTGGAGTTTCACTGGTCATGTATTCATATATGTGCATAAGAAAATTATGTACAATTCATTGTCTTTCCTATTCCCATTCCCCCTCCGTCTAATCCAATAAACTTCTATACGTCCCCTGTACCCTCCCTTGTTATGGGTTAGCATCCGCACATCAGAGAGAACATTCAGCCTTTGGTTTTTTGGGACTGGCTTTTTTCACTTAGTACGATAGTCTCCGGTTCCATCCATTTACCAGCAAATGTCATGATCTCTCTCTTCTTTATGGCTAATATTCCATTGTGCATATATATCACATTTTCTTTATCCATTCATCCATAGAAGGACACCTAGGTTGTTTCTGTAGCTTGGCTATTGTGAGGTGAGCTCCACTAAACATTCATGTGGCTATGTCACTGTAGTATGCTGATTTTAAGTCCTTTGGGTATATAAACGAGGAGTGGGATAACTGGGTCAAATGGTGGTTCCATTCAAAGTTTTCTAAGAAATCTCCATACTGCTTTCCAGAGTGGTTGCACCAATTTGCAGTCCCACCAGCAATGTATGAGTGAACCTTTCCCCTCACATGCTCGCCAACATTTATTGTTACTTGTATTCTTTTTTTTTGAAAAACATTTTTTAAGAGAGAGAGAGAGAGAGAGAGAGAATTTAATTTATTTTTTAGTTTTCGGCGGACACAACATCTTTGTTTGTATGTGGTGCTGAGGATCGAACCCGGGCCGCACGCATGCCAGGCGAGCACGCTACCACTTGAGCCACATCCCCAGCCCTGTTACTTGTATTCTTGATAATTGCCATTCTGATTAGAGTGAGATGGAATCTCAGAGTAGTTTCAATTTGCATTCTTCTAATTGTTAGAGATGTTAAACATTTTTTTATATATGTGTTGACCATTTATATTTCTTTCTTTTTATGACTCTCGCTATGTTCTACTCCTACCATGGCAGATTGGTGATGAAATTCTAGAGATCAATGGCGAGACCACCAAAAACATGAAGCACTCTCGGGCCATTGAACTGATTAAGAATGGTGGCCGCAGAGTTCGTCTGTTTCTGAGGCGGGGAGACGGCTCGGTCCCGGAATATGGTGGGTCAAACTATGAAAACATTCCTTCCTTCCCTGGCATGACTCCATGACTCTGTCTCCAGAACGGCAGCAGGAAAGTCCTTTCTGTCTCCCCATTCACCAGTGTCTTACAGCCTCTCGCACCATGTGATTATTTGCTTCGCTTGTTCTGAAATCTCCACATTTCATCTTTTTGCTTGCTTCTGTGGACTGGGGCAAGGCCTAGGACAAGATCTTTAGAGCCCCCTTTCTGATAATCAGAGAGAACATTTTGTCTAGTCCGACCAAGAGCGAAGGAATGTTTGTTTGAACTGTGCCAAACTGTTTCTCAGATCCAATTGTTAGCACAAAATGACTCTATACTCCTTTTAAGAAGCAGGAAAGCAGGTTTCCTGAGTGATATGATGAGGCACAAATATATATATATTTTTTTCTTTTTTTTTTGGTTACTTGATGTCTTTATTTAAGAAGCGTGAAATTTCAAGATGATTTGGGGGCTTTGCTCACCTCCTAGATGCTCTGCGTCCAAAAATTCTCCATCCCTCCACTGGTCTCTGACCCCAAATCAGACCACCTGAGCCCACTACTGTCAAACGAACAAAAACTGTTGACATATTAGCCATATGTTTTTAAGTGATGAAGGACGAAATAGATTCCCAGTGCTCATCATGAGGGAAACATGTTACTATACCTTTCCTATGAGGAAAGCCAGGTTATACGTAGAGTTCCTTTGTCATATCTTTAGACATGATTTGAGTAGATGGCAATGATCTTTACCTAGCTTAGTGTTCTGATGGCAAAATATTGTATATTGTAATAATTCTGTCCTATTTATTTGAGATTCTTGTTTAAAATTTAAAAAAAAGAGAAAAAAAAAGCTATGCCCTAGATGTAGGGCTTTTTTTTCCCAACCAAAGGTCTACAAAAGTTTCTATAGAAACTGTAATCGAATGATCCCCATATACATTGGTCCCCTTTATTAGGGATTTATCTGTTATCACCCTCTTTTCTGAAAGTCACTCTGCACAATTCCCAGTTGCATTTTTGGACTTCCTTGATGAGATCCTTCATTCAGATGTAGCTCAAGGAGGGGAACAGCTCCCGTGCAGGCAGCTTCCCCTGGTGTTGGACATGGGTACAGGTGCACAATATGAGGGATCCGAGGGAAGGGGGGAGGGTGGGTTTCAGACAAGGCCCCTTTAGGCCCGGCCAACCACAGGGGGAAGTTCATGACGACATTCAGATGACATGGCTGCGTACTGTACTAAACTTCTGACTGTTAGGTGTATTGATGCCACTGAAGCTGTGTAACATTGTCTTCCTTTTCTGTCTTCCCTATGCCTTCTGTCGGATGTGATATTTCATTTGAGAGTCATCGTCAGTAACCTGTGTACCTTCTCCAAACCTATGTCTGTTGCACTGAGGATGAAAATCCAACACTAACAAATGTTCTTTGGGCTAATAATAATAATAATAATAAAGATCATTTAAATACATGGTTTTCCAAAAAGGGTTGAACATTGCCAGGGTTGTGCTGCTGTAATGTTTCCATGCGTCATTTGGACTAAACCTCTCTAATTCTATTGATTAGAGTCACAAATGGGTTATAATATGTTAAGTTCCAATATTTTTCTGACTTGATTGGAACCTGCTTCTCTGTGAGGCTATTTTTGTAATGAGTTTTTGTACTTAATTTAACTGCCGCGGTCTGGGGGGGGGGGGGTTGGGGAGGGACTTTGTTCTTTTGTTGTTTATTGTTAATGCTCTCCTATGCCAGCCTGTCATTGTTCCAGTTGTTTGAAAAAAAAAAAAAGGATGCATTCATTGTCTGGGTTCTCAAGTCATCTTATGGCTGTCTAAAGACGTACGTCATGTTCCAATTGCGGTCTCTGCAGCCTTATTTGAGTGTTGCCTTAGACTGTCTGACTGGACAAATAAACTCTCTTTGCCCTATGTTAACAAATACAGATTTTTTTTCTTTCCTCCTTGTTATAGGGAATCTAAATGTTCAACTTTTTCTCTTTCTCTCTTTCTCTTTCTCTCTGACTGTTCTTGGTGCTGGGCCCTCCCTTCTACAGCGATGATACCTCCTAATATCGCTGCATGTATGAGAAATGAAAAGCTCGGGGAGGCTTGCTTCTACCTTATGGGCCATAATCAAACTACGGTTTGTAGCTCAATCAATACTAGGTGTTTCTGTGCTGTGGCCTAATTTCCTCATTGCTTCTGCTTAGCTCTATTTTGATATGTTTGGCAATTCATTCTGAGCACCCTGCGTTCTTGGAATTGTAAGTACACTGCTGACCCCTGTTGAAGTGTTGCTCTCCCTTGTCTTGAAAGTAGGCATAAGATTTCAAGGTTAGATTTAGAATAGTGATCTGAGGACCTTCCCTTACCCAAATGTCAGATGACTTTTGTCTTCGTTCTGATAGTCCACCCAGCATTTAGAAAGAATGAACCTTATACCACAGAGCTCTCACCCAGATAGATAGGGCTTTGCCAGATGGGAAGAGATTCCCCCATTCTTCAGGTATCTCTGGCATTCTACAGCCTAGGGGCCAAATCCTGACCACAGCCTGTGTCTGTAAGTAAGATTTACTGATGCATAGCTACACACCCATTTCTGTTTTGTGTTGCCTGTGCTTTTGCCCTACAGTGGCTGGTTTGAACAGTTGCAACAGAGACTGTGGTCCAGAATATTTACTACCTGGCCTTTTAGAAAAACTTTGCTAATCCCTGCTTTAGGTTATGTACCTGCTTTTGCTAAAAGCCATGCTGGGTGTTGGAAGATCTTTCATGAAACATATTAATTGCTGAATAGAGACCTGGCTGCCTCATGAAAGATCTTTTAAGAGCCCCAGTGATTCCCTCCTCTCTGTCACATGGGTCTGCCCTCCCTACTGCAACACAATATTTTAGGCTCCTGGAATTTGTTGCGTTTAGTTGCAACAAAGCATCCCTGGGCTCTCATAAATTCATGATGCTGCCCTACTTTTAAACCTATAGACATCTTGGTGGTATAAGAAGCAGTCTATAATAGTGAGATCCATTATGCCATATTCATACATGCGTATAATTTGATCACTCTCCTTCCCCAGTCATGTATAATTATAATGTACCAATTTCAAAAGGAAAAAAAAAAAGGAGCAGTCCAGTGGCTCCACAGTTCCTCCATATTGTTATGACTGCTTCATATATCATACAGAAAAACTGCTTTTAAACTTAAGGATTTTGTGAGCCCTGTCTAATTGCAAATGTGTAATTAACCACCTCTTTCCCCCCTTCCTTGTATCTACCAGAAAACTCTGCATTTGAAAGATGGTTCCTTATTTTTGAATTTACCCAAAGTAGACAAAATAGTTGAAGAGCACACACAAAAGTATAGTTCAGTGGCCCCTCAAGTGCATGTGACATTTGCCAATCAGCACCTGGCCATTATGCTGCTGCCACAATCCCCTTTGCTCAACACTTTGGATTATTGTTTTAAAGTATAAATATGCTTTGCATATGGTAAAAATACGTGAATCCTGAGTGTGTGATGCATTGTAGTTTTCACCTCTGTGTGCACACATTTAGGTCACCACTCAGATAAGCCATAGACTACTTCTGTCCCCCAAGAAGCTTCCTATGCCCCTCCAGGTCAATGTCCTAGATTGTTTTTAAGCAAATCAAAACAAGCATTCTTTAAAGGAAAGGAGATTTTCTTTCTTGGGGGCAGTGTAGGGTGGGGAAGAGGAAAAGGGTTGGTAGATGGGGAGGAGAGAGGCAGGGGGATAGGTAAGGGGGAGAAATTTGGGTACCTGAAGACAGACTACCTGGGGTGTGCCTTTAAAGACTAAAGTCATGCCTGATTTAATAAATTCTTTAATGATCTATCTGGGGTATCAAAAAGAGCCAGATGCTGAAAGCCACAAGTACTAGTTGGTAACCCTAACTAGTTGCAGTTATACATAACGTAACCAAGACTCAGTTGGCTTTGACTCTGATGGCTTTTAACAGTTGTTTGTTTGTTGTGACTAATGAGTCGAGCGCGGGAGGGAGCGGGGACTGGACCATGCAGGTCCTCCCTACCTAACTGGGCCTCTCCTGTCTTCCTCGCAGACCCCAGCAGCGACCGGAACGGCCCCTCCGCCGGTGCACAAGGCTTTCCGGAAGTGAGGGCCGGACCGGAAGTGAGGGCCGGACCGTCCGGCCGCCAGCACTCATCATTGGAGTCCAGTTACCCACCCGACGTTCACAAATCATCACCACATGGGGAGAAGCGGGCACACGTGAGAGACCCAAAAGGCAGCCGAGAGTACAGCAGACAACCCAATGAACACCACACCTGGAATGGAACTTCCCGAAAACCCGACGGCGGGGCCTGCCGACCCAAGGACAGGGCGCCCGAGGGACGCCGAGACGCGCAGGCCGAGCGGATGGCGACCAACGGGCCCAAGAGGAGGTCCCCGGAGAAGCGCCGGGACGGCACGCGCAGCGCCGACACCACCCTGGAGAGGAGGGAGAAGCCCGAGAAGAGGCGGGAAGGGTCTCCCGAGCGCCGGCGGGAGCGGTCCCCCACGCGCCGAAGGGACAGCTCGCCCAGCCGGCGGCGGCGGTCCCTTGAAAGACTCCTGGATCCCAGAAGGTCCCCGGAGCGAAGGAGAGTGGCCTCGCCCGAGAGGAGGGCCAAGTCCACCGATCGGAGACGGGCCCGGTCCCCCGAGCGCCGCCGAGAGCGTTCGCTGGACAAAAGGAGCCGAGAGGACCGAGGTGGCCACCGCGAGCGGGAAGAGGCGACTCTGAAACAGGAAGTGGGCAGAAGTTCCAGAAATCCCCCGGAGCAGAGGAGGCGACCTTATAAAGAATGTAGCACCGACCTCAGTATCTGAGACTTGACACGCATTCCAACCTTTACCATGTCAAAGGTTCTAAGAGGAAGGTCACAAACCTGAAATAATTTAGTTTTCTTACCTTAGGAAGCATCTCTGACACCTGGTGATCCTATGAATAGCTACAAACATTTTATGCATTTGAGATCTTCTAAGAAAAAAAAATTATATATGAAAAGTCTTGTGCCTGATGTATAAATATTAAAGAAAGTATTTTTAAATGCATACTTTTTTTTGGAAATTATTTGCCAAATACTGGCCCAAAGGGATATAGATTTTGTTTCTATAGAAAGCGTGGAATTGTCAAGAATTTTTTTTCCCTTTTTTTTTTTTTTCTTTGGGCAATCTTTTTCTCTCCTGTTAAAATGGGGCGGTTGGTCATGTTTCTCTTTAAGGACGGGAAATTATTAAGTTTAATTAATGATCGAGACTGTTATATAGTGATGTAGTGCTATACTGTAGACAGGAGTTTTTCTTCAAAGCAAAAAGGCAAACTTCTATTTGTAAAAACTGAGGACCTCTTGGGATGGATTAGGATTGCCAATGATCCTAAAATTAAGCAAACTGTAATGACAAGACTACTATTGCAAATGAAGGATATTTATAGCTTTTTAAACTGCGGCAGCACAAAGAAATTTTTTTTTTTTTTTTTTTTTTTTTTTTTTTTTGTCCTTGGGTTAGAATTGATTCGAAACAGTTTGTACTCTCTCTGGCCCAGGAAGGCACAGAGACAAGAAGGTTGGCCGCCATTACCCAAACACAGCCTAAGCACAGATTGTCAGGTTCATTAGCATCTCCCCCGTGGAATAAGATCTCATTTAAGGCAGTTCCATGGCAGCCTTACTCAACTACTAGAAGGAACAGACAACCTACACCTGTGTTGTCTGGCCGGTGGTCTGATTTGAAGCTGAATATTTGATGGAATGTAGGACAGTGTGCTGGGTATGAGGGAGACATAAATATCACCACCACGATGAAAAGTATGGCCCCCTTTTTTGCATAGCCCATGATTGCCCTTTGCCAAATTAGGGAGGAAGGAGTGACGTTTGGTGGATGAAATTCTCTTTTGAGAATTTAAAGAAATGACAGCTGGGGCTGCTCATTCATAGAAATGCCAATTGCACTTTGAAACCATAAAGTTTTTAGGTTGGTCAAAGGGGAAGCAAGGAAGTGATCCCAGTGGTTCTAGTCCTGGTTGGGAAACCTCTGCCCTCATGACCCTGTCCTTTAGTCTTTGGACAGCAGAACAAAAACAATGATTTTTCTTTTTAAAAAGACCCATTCTTCCTGAAACCCTCAGGTGGTGTGGTTGGGTCGGCTGTAGCCCCAGGATGTGGTTTAAATGGATTACTGCCTAGCTGAGCCAAAACGTTTGCTTGTACCTGTTGGACCACTACAGCAAACCGCTGCTTACAGTGCATTGTGTATTTCTGTAGTACTGTTTTGCATTTTCCGTACAGACACAAAACTTTGCAAGTCAATCACTGTTGTTCCCATGGTACTGTATTGAAAAAAGAAAAAAAGATTAAAAAAAAAAAAAAGACAGCCAGCCAATCATTGTGTGTACAGAGTTAAAAATTGTAATTAATAGAGCCTGTTGAAAAAAAAATGTTGCCTTTTTTTCTTGTATAAAAGAGAATTTATGACAAAAATTTAGCTGTGAGGAATGTGATATGTGTTTATATTTCTGAATATGAACAAATTGATTCATGGGGATATATTTTAATGTAAACTAAATCAGGTATGTAAAGTTGTTTTAAAATGGGAGACTATATAAGTAATTCTCTAAAGCTTTAGTTGGTTTGGGATATCATCATTTCTTCCATGGTGAGCCTGCTTGTGAATTATTAAGCACTTGTTTGCATTCTCTGTTCTTCACTCATTTATTTCTTACAGTGTGCTATGGACTTAATGCTCTTTCTGTATTGATGAAAAGCAGTATGTGGGCCAATCTTTTTATAAAACACTATGCATATATAAATATTACATTGTTCATAGCTTTATTTGATTTATGGGTTTATACACAACACTAGAATGAATAGCTATAGTAGTGTGGACATTTACAAAACAAGTTCCTTTCCTGGAACAGAAACAATGTACATTCTGTAGCTAAAAAGGAGGGAAAAAGTCTGTGGATGCTATTTTTATTATCCGAGTTTTCCATGCAAAGCTTACATTGAGCTGTAGGAGGAAGACTGAGGAAGAGTACAACTGAATAATGATGTTTTTTTCCGTCAATTTCCTAAGAGCCAACTTGGAGATTTTATTCCTAAGGCTGCAGTGCTAGGATTTTTCTCACTAGTTCTAGCACAACCTGAGATGTTAAATGACTGACACTCTCATTTGGGGTCCAGGGTTTTAAATAATTGAAATCAAGGTGCATTTTTGGAGTGTATCCTTAAGTTAACATCTTGACTGTCTTGCTTGTTGTAAGAGATATTTGATGTGTTAAAAATCTGTGCTACCGCCCCAGCTTGTTTCAGTTCATGAGGACTTTTGGTGTGGTAATTTCACCTTAGTTCCACACATCAGATTTGCTTTGAAAATATTGTACTGTACAGGGACTATGCATTAAGCAGAAAGATATAGTTTTCTTTGAACTACTGTAACCTTAAATTGGAAACTGATTCTTGTGAGCCTACTTTCCCTAACCCCCCACTCCATGTAAATGTGTTGATGAGCGATGATGGATGAGAATTTTGTATGACTTATACCATTTAGGAATTCCCCTCCCTCTTTTACACAGTTGATGCCTGAAAGAATGTTGGGGAGCAGAGTCAACACCCTACTTGTATTTTTTAAGTTTCTTTTGTGAAAGATTTTTTAATGCATTTTTACTGTAAAAATACATGGAAATGTATGCATTCCATAACCACTATTGTTTCTGGATTGATATCTTCCTTGTCTCCTCATTGTTTCAGATATATCAGGGTCAAATAATGAGTGGAGGGTGCCTGATTCAAACTCCCTGAAATACCATTCTATTGAGAAAGGAGTTATGTCTTTGAGGTAGAAAAGTGCTTTGCCAGTCTGGCACCGTGGTGCACGCCTGTCATACCAGCTACTCTGGAGGCTGAGGCAGGAGTAATCTCAAGTTCAAAGCCAGCCTCAGCATAAGTGAGGCCCTAAGCAACTCAGTGAGACCCTGTCTCTAAATAAAATACCAAATAGGGCTGGGATGTGGCTCAGTGATGGAGTGCCCCTGAGTTCAATCCCCAGTAAAGCTGCCTCCGCCAAAAAAAAAAAAAAAAAGAAGTGCCTTGCTATTCAAAGTGTCATCTGTGGATAAGCTGCCTCATGGAGAGTTTGTTAGAAATGTACAATCTCTAACCCCACTCCAGACCTACAGAGTCAAAATGTGCATTTGGCAAGATCCTCAGCTAACTCATATGCATATGAAAATTTGAACAGCATGGTATAGCATAGAACCTTGGCTCTAAAGCAAATTGTGCCAAGCCAAGAGCTTCCTGTGAGATGTTTGGGAAGGTTTCTCCACCATTGTTAGCCTCCTTTCCTCATCTTTAGAGTGGCAAATCTCATAGAGTTGGCAAGAATAAGTGCAAAGTGTTCAGCACACCTCCGGCACTCAGATCCTCTGTAAACACTAAAACATTTTTACTGAGGGTTCTCTGTACAGCAATGAGTATTGTACTCTTTCCTTTGTCCTGGCTTGTCAATCAAAATGAAGAAATATATTTTGTCTATTAAAATGAGGAAGAAAGCCTTTTATTTTAATTTAAAATTAACAAATAGTAAGGCTCATGCTACTTCACAGGTATAATTATGCTTGCTATTGTTTTGAAATAACAAGCCAAAATGCGATGCTCTGAAAGTCAAAACCAAAATAGTCTCAGAGCAGACTTGGGGAGGTAGATATATAAATGGAGTTAGACAAACTCCCACATCACACTAGATGAGAAAGCTAGTTCATTAGCATACAATTTAACACCCATCCAGGTTGATTGTGTAGTTGGAAGTAACTCAATTTCCTCCACAGTCTGGTTGGTTTCTTTGTGTGGCTTAGTGGTTGGGGTTTTCCTAAGCTGGTGGACACTCAAAGGTGTATTGTGTTTTAATAGTAGGCCCATCTCTTTGACTTTATTTTGTCACTGACATGGTAATTATGGACACTGCTCACTTCCCTGAGAATCTCTTTTGTTAAAGATGGCATCTAGAAATGGTCCCTGGCTCAGCCAAACAATTGAAAGTATTTCTAAAGCCCTTTCGTGGACAAATCCTTTGCCTGCCATAAATAGCCACAGTAAAATGAGTGTGCTGAATGAGGCTTCATTATAGCTGTCAGGGTTTTTTTTTTGGTTTTTTTTCCCTGCGGGTAGGCAAACTGAGACCACCTTTGATGATCTGCATTAATCCTGAAAGGAAGAACCTTTTACATTCCTCCAGGTGATGTTTGTTTTGTTTTGATTTTATGGTGAGGCAGCAAGGTCAGAATTATGGGTGTTGAGCCCAAAGAGATCCAAGTACTTTGGGAACACACATGACTATCGCTTGCAAGAAGGGAATTGACCAAGCTCAGTTTTTTTCCTGCAAGTGATTTGGGGTATATTTTACAGGGTGGTCCTTCTGTGAAACACTGTGACTAGTTCCCCCCCCCCAACTATGTCTCTGTGCATGATGGATAGAGGTCATTGCGGGGGGCTGTGGGAACAGAAGGGGTGCAGCTACATGACATTAGCGCACACATTAAATTTACTGAATCCAAAGCAAAAGACCTCTTTGAAAGCATATGGAGCAGGGTGCGGCGGCGCACACCTGTAATCCATGCAGCTTGGGAGGCTGAGGAGGAAGATCTCAAGTTCAAAGCCAGCCTCAGCAAATGGGAGACCCTAAGCAACTCAGTGAGCCCTTTCTCTAAATAAAATACAAAATAGAGCTGGGGATGGGGCTCCATGGTCAAGTGCCTCTGAGTTTAATCCCCAGTACCCATAATAAAAGAAAAGAAAGAAAGCATATGGATTTGAGCAACGTGATTTTTACTTTTGCATTTTGTGGTAAACTACTCAAGTATTGCAGGTGACTCTGCCTTTCACTGCATTTGAACTGAAAGTGTTCCTTGTCATGTCCCTGGAGAAAATAACAAAGTCATTGTCTACACAACCTGCAGCTTTAAACATCTCCCCAGTAAGTGCTCATAAGTATATCCTTCAGGGAATAAATTCTTTCAGTCTCCTAGAATCATAAAAAGAAAGATTGCTAATTCCTATGTGTGTAGTTAGACTTGTGTCTCAATTTTGTCCACACATGTTTATTGAAGACCAACTCTATGCCAGGTATATGGTGGGACTGGCAATCCTGGTTCCCACTCTGGAGAGCTTATAGTTTGGTGGGAGAAGAAAACACATAAACATAAGCACGTCCCCAGGGCACAGGGGCCTAGGGCACTCATTAATAGGAGATTTAGCCAGATTGAGGAAAATTGGAATTCAGCTGAGACCAGAAGGAAGAGAAGGGGTTAACTGGGAACAGAAGTAGCACATGGTGCAGGCTGAGGGAGAAGCCAAGAGGTGAGGGAGTGTGGTCCAAATGGAAGGATCAGGCCACAGTGCGCTGGGCCAGCTTGTCATCAATTTCAGACTTCAGTAGAGGAGACCACCAAAGAGGTTTTAGGGGACCTCTATCCAGGTATGTGTGGGGTGGGGTGGGGATGACTAGGCCAGGTCTAAGTGAAAAAGATGGCCTCAGACTGGAGGTGGGGGTGTTGAGTCTAGAAAGGCCCAGGACTATGTTTGCTATCTTTGTGTGTGTGTGCTTGATTATTACTTTTTATTTATATATGACAGCAGACCGCATTACAATATGTTTGCTATCTTTTAAAAATAATTTGTTTTCTTTCCTATATAAACCCTACTTCTCTTCACTATACCTTTATTAATACTTACAGAATCTTTCTACTTTACCTAATTTCTTCTGTTAGATAAGATCATTTACAATTCTATCTGGTTTTCTCTGGTCTTAAAAACCACCTTCTTTTTTTTTTTTTTTTAACATCCAGGAATCAGATCTTGTCATCTTATTTTGCTTTTTTCTTTTCTTTTGAGGTTGGCCACAACTTTCTCAAGCTACAGGAGGCTGTTTAGTTTTACCCAACCCTGCCCAGACATGCCTGCATTTTAAGAGTTAAAAGTGGAAACACTCCTATAACACCCCAGGTTAAAAAGCATTGCTTTTTTTTTTTTTTTAACAAAACTAATGCTCATGAGGCTGAGGCAGGAGGATGGCATGTTCAAAGCTAGTCTCAGCAAAGGTGAGGCGCTAAGCAACTCAACAAGACCCTGTTTCTAAATGAAGTACACAATAGGGCTGGGGATGTGGCTCAGTGGTTGAGTGTCCCTGAGTTCAATCCCAGGTACCCACCACCCCCCCCCAAAAAAAAAAAAACCTTAATGCATAAAAAAAAAAAAACTTGTAATAATAGTCAAGCATTTTAGGTGAATATAAACTAAAAGGTGGCATCCTCCCTAACCACCAGTTGACTCTGATTTTCAGAGGTAAATATTACCAACAACTGGGGTCATGACATTTCTGATCCTTCTGTGTGTGTGTGTGTGTGTATGTGCGTGTGTGTGTGTAGCCTAGTTATTAGTTTTTAGTGGGCCATTAGCACTTATTTCATGAACTTTTTCTGTATCTTGTACATTGTGGATGGTTTTCCGTGTTAGGAGCATGTGCGTATACACATGTCCATATACATTCATAGACAGACATACACACATTGAAATATAATCTCATGGATATCATCTCCTTTATTGCCAATCTCTGCCTCTCTCAGGTTCATGCATACTCTTCCTTATTCTGATGCCAGCCTTTCCTCTTGCACACCTACAGATTCTCCTCCCTGCAGAAGCCAAAGCCATTCTTTTAAAATACCCAGTGAGGTTCCTGATACTCACCAGTTCCACTCCAGCCTCTCTGCTCACTCCCAGCCTTAGGGGCTCTGGCCTAGCTAACCCACCCTGCGGTGCTCTTTCCCACATACCATGGCTGGCTCTCTGCCTTTCGTCAAGTCTTTGCCTAAATCTCTTTCCCACGTGTCCTGCTCTGCCCACCCTATTTAACAATGGCACTTTGATTCCCGTCTTCCACAGCACTTCCCACCATCTAACCTGCTCTAATTGATGGACTTTCCTATTGTCTCCACTGCTGATCACCTGTCCCCATTCTCTGCAAAGAGGGTCAGCTTTCTACACGCGGCAACCTCTGCAGCCACACTAGCCCTGCTCTAAGAAGGGCCCCTTGCCTGATTTAATTCTCTGCTGTCACAGTCTTGAATTCTTCACTATTTTTGAACAAGGAGCCCCGCATTTTCAATTTACACTGGTAGTGCAGTTTGTTGCTGACTTTCTAGAAGGCAAACTGTTGAAGGGCAAGAATCTTCATGTAAGCCTCGGAGGGCAAGGATCTTTGTTCTCATCTCTGGTGAATTCCAAGGTCCTGGAGCAATGCCTGCCGAATAGTTGGTGCGAGCAGATCTAAAGTACTCTGCTTCTCTCAATAGCTGCATATTCTGCCGTTGACCACAATTTATTTAACTCTTCCCTTATGGACCTGCAGCAGTTATTACAAAAATATGTTTCAGTGAACACTTATAACTTGGTATTTTTGAATGGTGTGGTTTAAATACTTTTGAAGGGACAAACTGTGACTCCTGGTTTGTTTTTATTTCTGATGACACTTATATTATTGAGGATTTGCATGCTTTCATTGGAAACAGCTGTTTTTAGCAAAGTACTTACAGGCTCTAGGACTCTTTCCCATCAAATGGGGGCTTGCAAGCACAGCTTAACTGCTAGACCAATGGTTCCTGGCCTCAGGTGCTCATTGAGATCACCTGGGGAACTTTGGAAGCGCTGATTAC